CAGGACCCAGTATCTGGCGTAGCCATACAAGACCTCCAGATTTCCAATTAAACAACACCCCCCACCATGTGAGACCTTTCCTCAAACTTTTGTCAGTTTCTGTTGGACGCTGCAGCACTTCGCAGAACCTAGACACATGAGGGAATACACTCAAGGGAGGGGTAGAGGGAAATGAAACAGACTAGCATCTTGGAAGAGTTGGACATTTGAGACTTCTTCAATGTCCAACTCCTTGGGACTAGAATGGTATTGATTCTTATAAAAGAAGTTATTATCATACCAACAACTTTCATTTCTCCTGTACTTTAGTTTTACATACCCACGACCATCTCGTGGACCTTTTTATGACCCAGAAATACTCCAACATTAACTTATTGGTCACAAACAGTTCTTTCACTCCTTACATAATACCTGCACTTAATTTAATATCCTTAACTTTAATCCTTCTGTGGCACCTACTTTGCAATAACTCAATGTGGGTGGAGGACTGCATTATCCATTGCTACATGCAGGCTGCTGAGTGCTGACGAAGAAAATTCAGAGACACGTAGACTGTGTCATAACAGAGACACACTCTCTCTCCAGTCTCTCTTTAACCAGAGCTGCTTGGTATTCCCTTCAACTGTCACTAACCATCTTATTTTTCTTTCTTTCTTGATAACTATTTTACATACTTACAACTCTAAAGTTTTCTTTTCAATCATTCTATCTCATATGCTCAGATTGCGTGGGAAACACCTTAACATCACATCCATTTTCCTAAAACATGACCCTCTTACTGACCACTAATGTGCTCCTTTGCATTCACTAGAGAAGTTGCAGAATGAGGACAGTCCTTTCTGCCCAAAGATAATGTGAACTTTGGACCTACTGGCTCAGTCTTTTCTCCCACACATTAGTAACAGCCTCTTACCCTCAATCACTTCCTTACTCAGCTACTGTCTTCAACTTCTGTAGCCACTTCTTATCTAATACCATTCTCCCTGGACTTCCATTCTATTCCTTGGGCTACTCAATCTCAGTTTCTTTTCCTCTGCTTATATGTTCTGACAGAGAGTTCTGATGGCACAGTGAGTTCTGCACTCAACTGCTCACTGAAAGGTCAGTAGTTTGATTTGAACCCACTAGCCATTCTGTAGAAGAAAGGTGGGGCAGTTGGCTTCCAAAAATATTGACAGCCTCAGAAACTTCATGGAGCCATTCCACTCTGCCCAGTACGAGTGTGAGCTGAACAGACCCAACAGCAGTGGGTTTTATATGTTTCTGGAATCAGTTCTTACTCCTCTTCTTTTCTCATCCTTACAATGGAACCAACAAACATCATGATAAGTGGTGAAGAAACGAAATGGTCAAGATTTCGTTTCTCTCGGATTAACAACCAGTGCTCACAAAAGCAAGAGTCAAAAAATCACACAAATACTGCACTGGGAAAGTCTACTGCAAAGACTTCTCTAAAATGTTAAAAGCTCAAGTTCACTACTATTGTGTAAATTCTGACTCATAGCGACCTTATAGGACACCGTAAAACTGTCCCTGTGGGTGTCTGAGACTATTACTCTTTACAGATGTAGCAAGCCTCATCTTTTTCATGCCTTTGCTCATACAAAGAAAATAATAGTAACAGAAAACACTGTTATTTCCAAAATGGACATACAAGAAACAATCTTCCTTAATCCCAAGGGGGTGTGTGGAATTAAACTTCATGCATATCTGAATATGTCATTGCTGTTTATATTAAGAGGTGGGGAACTCACAGAAAAAAATTTCAAATTTAAAGTGATACAAAGCAAAAATGTCACTTTGATGACTATGGATGTGCCTGATTCACAGTGATATTTTCTATTGCCTCCTATGAATGTGATAACTGGGTAACAAAAAAGCAAGACCGAAAAAGAATGAGCATATTTACACTGGGATATTGACAACAAAGAAAACAGACTTCCAGAAGAATGAAAAATATCTCTTTGGAGACCTACCGCCAGAATGCTACTTAGAAGTGAAAACAGAAAGACTTTATCTTGCTTACTCTGGACATGTCATGCAGAAGGATCAATCACTGGAAAACGGTCTTTTTAATCCTGGTAAAAAGAGGGGAGGCCCTCAACAAGATGGGCTCTCATAGTGGCTGCAATGACAGGCTCAAACAACAAAGTGTCCAGTTGTCAAAGCTATTTACTACTAGCCAATACGTTGGCAGTTTGAAAACACCCAGATGCACCCCAGAAGACAGGGCTGGCAATCTGCCTTAACAACTCGAATGAAAAGTTCTATTCTGCACACATTGGGTTATGAGCTAGACTCAATACCAACTAACAACCCACTAAGAGCCAATGACAACAACCACATGTATGTATGGATAGCCTCAGCACCTCATGGGAACATAGGACCTGCCAGGGAAGTCCCATCTCCACTGGCCCCACTTCATCAACCCTTCTGCTCCACACAGCACCCAGTTAGGTCAGGAAGGGGGTGGCCACTCTCCCCTTCCAAGAGATGAAATACTATGTGTATGAGACCTACTAGTCAGGGATCCCATTAGGGACCTCAGTCTCCTTTACTGCCAGATGTTCACCACTGATGCACAAAATAGGGAGACAATAGATTTTTTTTTTACTATTGTGGTTAATGTAAAATATCACATGACAAGATAGCCAAAAAGTGAGGAGTAAGTCTATTTTTAAAATAGGCTTTATATTTTTTATATATATAAAAATATATAAAAATTATATATAATTATATAAAAATATAATTAAACTGTGTTTATAAAAGTAACTATATTTATATTTATTTCTTAAAGGCCAACTCTTTACTCTCTAATGGCACAAACTACAGTTAACCAGATATTTCATCTACTTATATGCTGTTTTTGACTCATCATTATAGTCTGAATTTCTCAGTCCAGTATTTCATAGATCTAATGTTTAACATATATTTTCTGAGTACTTACAATATTACAGGCACTGTTTGAGACTTGGTCCTTAAGAAGAGTTTAATCATACCATTAGGAATCTCTGCTCTTTAAAAAAAAAAACTTTGCCCTCAAGGATTTTATGATGATTTGGATGCACACACCGGTACTTCCACTCCTACCTTATAGAATGAGAAGTTAAGTACTCACTTCTGTGCAGACGGAAAAGCTATGATCCGGACTTAGAAATGACCTGTGCAGACAAACCACTGGCCTGGTTATCTAATTTTGCCAGAAAGGAAGATTATGAATGACTTCTTAACTCGATGGCATTAATTTCTGGCAGTTAATCTTCGCCCCCAACGTTTTGCTGATTATATTTTAAAATCTCAGGTAATAAGTAACTTTATGTAGTTATTTGGGCATGCATTATTTGTATCTAGTTTCTCTCGGTACAATAGGAAGTTCAAAAGCTGGCAGTGCAATAGGTGGCCATTTTCTGTCTGCAGAAGGCACTTGATTCCCTTTGTTTTAACATTTCCCCAAGTTAAAATTCACAACAAAGAACATCATAGGGCTTTTGGTCATTCATTCATTCATGTGTACAGGCTGTGAATAAATGGAATATATTTTGAACACAATTTTTATCCTACCAATGAGAGTGCCATCGGATCACCTGGATGGTAACTGTATAGGCATCTTCCTTATCAGGCTCTTTAATTTTCACAAATGGATGTCTACTCAATCCAGAGTTTCACTGCTAATCAGCACGCATCCATAGCTCTGCACTAACTAGCTAGGGAGAAGCACTTCACTGGGGGTACAATCCCTATAGTACTGTACTTATAGGCTATTTTACCCTTTGCAGATACCCCCTCATTTTATTTTATTTTATTTTTATTTATTTATTTTTTTAGGAGACTATTTAATTTTATTTTGTTAACCGTCCCATTGGAATATAATTCACACATCATACAATTCAATAGTTCAACTACATTTTATGCCTTAAATGTAGTTGATTCCTTCTCTCATATGTGCTACTCCTTGTCCTCTACTTCCTTTGAATTCTTCCCCCTCATTTTAATACATCGTTGGAACGTATCCTGTGCCACAGTCACACTGTTGAGAGCTGTGAATCCTCTCTATACTGCAAGAAGCTTGAGCATGCGATTGTGGGGAACGCACTCTGATGTTAATCCCCGGGCTATAAACTTGCACCGATCTAGGAATTAAATCGATCTAGACCACTGCAGAGCTACAGAGTTGGATGCATCACAGTGGCCTTGAACTGAATGCTTAGGCTAAGTTATCTACTGGCACAATTTCACTAGCTTTTGCTGAGGCCCACTGGAAGGAAGAACCTGCTACTTACTTTAAAGGCTGGAAGAGGTGGTGTTCAATCTTGCTGAGAGCGTCGGGAGAGCGGCCTCTCTAGTATCAGCTCTGCTCCTTCTGAGCATCCAACTCCTTTTTAGGGGGAATGGAAGCTCCCCTCAGCTGCTCAAAAAATCACGGCCCACCTTTCACAATGTAAACTAAACAGCATGGGTCTGACACACTGACTTTACTCCAATCAATATTTTAATTGTTCTTCGTCTTGCTTTTATTCTTTATTTGTAGCTTATTTTATTTTGCCACATTGTGTAGGAAACTCCTTACCCGTTAGAAGAAGGTGGGCTGTATACGAGTTAAATTGCAGCAGAGAGAAATAAAAAGTTGGGTTTTGTTTGTTTGTTTTTAACATGTTTCACTACTGGGGATCTACTCAAGCCTTTTTCTCGGAATCCTTTCCTAAAACACTATTGTTTTTGTTATTGTTTCTTCAGTGACAGATGCAATTATTTGAGATAAATGATAGAGCTTCTTCAGAAAACTCTTATGTGAGATGTTTTAAAATTCTTTTTTTTATTAATATAGCGTGTATACATGTGGGCATTAGCATGTTACTTTAAAGTAACCATAAAGGTGAACTGGATTTTGATAGTTCCATACAGATTTTTTCACAGAACTAAACTTGAATTTTTTTCAACAAGTTGCTTGTTCACTTAAGAGAGTTTTGTATTTTTGCAACAGTGAGGTTGTAAATGCTTACAGGCACGTGGACTTTCCGAAACATCTCGGCCCCCTTATGAGCATCCGTTAGTGCAATGTCCTGTGGTGTGGAGACAATCACAGCACCTAAGCACAAGAGAAACAAATCACAAATGACGCTATGCTTTCATTGTTTATGGAAAGATTATTTGCAATTCTATGTTGCTTCCATTCCAAAAGCGTCTATTACATTATGTACATAGATGATTTGTATGCATTTACGTAAATAAATGAGAAAGATAGGGTCCACTTTGCCCTTGCCTGTGTTTCACCCCTCACTTCTATACTAGACCCACAACCGACTGCCCCTTGATTGAGGGTCCCAGGTAAAGAATCAGAATGTTCTTTCCAGTCAGACAATTTGCTAGTTAGCAGGCTTTGCTTTCAAGGGGTTTCTAGGCTACTTGAGGAGAACAATGAATGGAGGGCTACAATACGCCCTGAAAAGCTTTGCAACACAGATGTCCACACGGTATCACGGAGTTATAAAGAAGGAATAAGGAGGAAAGAGGACTGGTTTCCTGTGGGAGAGGATGGTGAGCGGGACAGATGGAGTGAGGATACAAGGGATAGCGAGTAGCAACAGGAGAAAGGCTCCAGAAAACCCGATTCCCACACTGAACCCTAAAAGTCCATAGTATAGAAAATTCATTCATGTGCAGTACAGCGTGGAGATTAGTTTGATGAGAGTAAAACTGGAGGAGCTGTAGCAGGAATGAGGATGCGACACAGCAGGGGGCTGGATGAAGGCATCACTGATAGGCTTTCCTGGACACCTGCTGCTGCCCCACAGAAAGCAGATGGCTCTAGAGTATACTATTTGGAGAGAAAGTAAAAAATAACACCCCCCCCTTTAAATGGACACCCCAGAGGCTTTCTCTGGTTTTCTTAATTAAATGATAAGCTAAATAATAACAAGCATATTCCACATCACCAAATAATTATTGTGTACTACCAACCACACAGTGCATGACACTCCAAAGCTCTAACCCATCAAATTTGTGCCCAGTGGCACTGTTTAAGCACGGCGAATGAGAATGGAAGCAGGATTAGTACTGAATACATGACGCACCAGATTAGGTCAACTGATGGCACCGTACGACCTGAGGGATATTTCACATAAGTTAAAACAGAGAAAAAGGTGGGAAACAAAGCTGTCAGTATTACTACAGGTATACCAAACTCAAAAGAATCCATGCAATAGCAGTTAATTTTAACTTCACCTCGCAATTATTTTTGTTTCAGAAAAAACATTCATCTTTTACATTAATGTCATTAATTTAAATATTATTGCTTTTGTAAGTTTTGTCTATGCTTAATTTTGTTGTTTAAAATTATATATTCTTTTTTTTCTTTTTTAACATTTTATTAGGGGCTCATACAACTGTTATCCCAATCCATACACACATCAATTGTGTAAAGCGCATTTGTACATCGTTTCTCAAAACATTTTCTCTCCATTTAAACCCCCGACATTAGGTCCTCATTTTTCCCCTCCCTCCCCGCTCCCCCCTCCCGCATGAGCCCTTGATAGTTTATAAATGGGTGAAATTTACAAGGAACCCTGACAGTGTGGTGGGCTAGGTGTTGGGCTACTAACCTCAAGCTCAACAGTTCAAAACCATCAAGTGCTTCACAGGAGAAGCAGGACACTTTCTACTTCTGTAACGACTTCCGAAGTTCCCCAAAGGCCTATTTTCACATTTGCCATCACACACAATTTATCTGGTGTTTCGCTCTTACATGGATCACTATATCCTTCTATTTTGTTTTATTGTCTGAAAAACCATGAATTACCCCAAAGTTCTCTTTACCCTCTTTGAAAGACAAGTGGAAATCACATCTCTGCAAAAATTATACCGGACATACCCATGTATTTCCACAGTTTTCCATCTTCACGATTCTATTATCCATCTGTTGTACCAGTTCCCCCCATATCCAGACATCTAAAAGGGATCTAATTTCAGTTCTACCTATCTTTGGATATGGAAATTAGAATCATTCTAAGGCTTTGTTTTCTCAGATATAAGATTTAGTGAATGAACTAGATAATCTCCAAAATCTCATCTATCTATATTACTCTATATGTACTTTGGAATTCTCTATTGACTCTAGATCGTTTCTAAAGCCACTCTGTCAATAGGACTGCCTCAGAACATTTCCGTGAATTTGCGCTGATACCTCCTCCAAGAAACGCAGCTGCTCCTTCTCAGAGCATTCTCTTCACATAGGGATAAGTCATTCCCTGGCTGTCTCCTCTGAAGCTTCTTCTTACTATTGACTTTGGTCGTTCTTTACCACATAAGCCTTCACAAGCACCCTCATCTTTCATGTGGGGTAAATATGTTGTTGTTTTAAATAGTCTTTGTCAACCATTTGTATTTCATTACACAATATTGCTTTTTGGACAAATACTATTTTTCCCAAACAATCCCTTGCACAAAATTGACACCTAACAAAGGAGGGGTGATTTAAACAATTTTCCTGGAGCACTGCAAAATGAACTTCAACTGGTAACACCTTGAACTAGGAGTCAAGAGCTATGGATTCAGGTTTCGTTGACTATATAAATAAACTATTTAACCTTGGACAGTTTACTGATTTTCAATATACCTCAATGAATTCCTCTAAAAAAATGAACCTATTTGCATCATCCTAATTTAATTTAAAGAACTTTTCCTTACAAATTATAAAAATATATGGTGATGTTATTTTACTGTAAAGCCCTAGAGTGAGGAATTCAAATAATTTTTTTCCTCTACTTAGCCATATAACAGTAGCACAAATAAGTAACCTTGCCATCTGAGTTTCTGTGTAGAGTAGTCTGAATATCACCACTCACACATCAGTTAATGATTTTCTTTTTCAAACTTTTTATTGTGAATTTTATTGTGTTTTATATATCAGTCTTCTGTTTCACATTCAGTGACTTAAACAACTTATTCAACCTCTCAACGGCTTGCCCTGTTTCCCCCTTGGTCTTGCCCTGGCTCTTGTGCTCTGCTCCACGGTCTCTGTTTCCCAGCCTTTACTTCCTCTGGTCTCTACATCTTCAGATAGGGGTCTCCAACATGCTCCCCTGGTGGCTCTCCTTCCAATGGTCCTTGGATTTCTCTATGTGCTCCAAGAAGGCTCTTAGACACAGAGGAATGGCTTTGGTGAGTGTGTGGGTTTTGTCTTTCAAAAGACTGTATCCACAAGGAAACAAGGGTGACTTGAGTCATACCCTCTAGTAATGTGCAGACTCAGAATATATCCCACCTTAATCCTGGCCATTAGCATAGCTGAAAACTCCCTCCACAGTGGGATTCTAGTCCCAGGCATGGAGTCTAGAATTCATAACACCATCATGTAAGGGAAGATGGCTAGAAGGGCGATATTAATCTCAACATGGTATCTCATTAATGTTTTGATTTGTATCTCTCGGTGGCTAGTTATCTTAGGCATCTGAATGCCTTCTTTGGTAAATTATCCGTTCTTGTTCTCTGCTCATTTTTAAATTTGGTCATTAAGTCTTCTACTTGTTGAAATGTTGAAGTTTTCTAGTTTTGAGAGATTAATCCCTTGTCTGACATGTCATTGTCAATTTTCCCCCCTAATCTGTTAGTGCTCTTTTTACTCTTTTGGTGAAATCTCTTGATGCATATAAGTATGACTATACTATGTATATTTCATCTGGAATAGACACCCTCTGCTCAGGGTGATTATTGTGAATCACATTGCTTGTTTGGTTTTCTTTTCAGAGTGCTCTACTTTGTTCTTTAGTAGTGCTTTGCTTATCCTGTGCCTCTTTTCTTTTCTTTATCCTGTGCCTCTTTTCTTTTCCATATTAAGTTGGTGATTCGTTTTTCCATCCCTTTAAAGAAAGATATTGGCATCTGTATCAGAATTGCCTTATATTTATCAATGCTCAAGACAAGGGGACATTTCACTGGAACTATCACCTACATTTATAGAAAAATTCTGGCGTGAGATGTTTGTGTATTTGTCAGTTTATTATGCTATGGTGGCAGGTGTGTTGTGATGCGGGAAGCTGTGCCACCAGTATTCCAAATGCAAACAGGGTCAGCAATGGGGGACAGGTTTCAGTGGGGCTTCCAGACTAAGATAGGCTAGCAACACAGGCCTGGCAACCTATTTCTAAAAATTAGCCATGAAAACTTTATGCTTCACTATAAAACACTGTCCGATCACTTGCCTTCCACATCTCTTTAGGGGAAATCAATGAATGGGAGAGAAGTCATGCTTGGTAAAGCAGAGGGAAGCAAAGGCAAAGGAAATCCTCAGAGATACATTGGCACACGGATGCAACAAAGGACTCAAATTTACTAGTAGTGGTGAAGGTGATGCCAGAACAGACAATGTTTCCCTTTGTTGCACGCAGGGTTGCCATGAGTCAAGAGTCAGCTCATTGGCAGTTCTCTCTCTAAGTCCTTAATTCATGAAACCAGCCTTTAGAACACCATCTGAAAAAAAAAAATTCTAGTCCTTCCTTAAGAATAAAAACATAAATGGCCTACACATAAATCACAAAATTGGGTTTGTCACTTAAACAAAACAATTTAAGATAGCCCAGAATGACCTTTAGGATCAAAAATAAGGAAATCATGATTTAATAAATCAAATTTGTATACAATAAAATTAAATCTAATCATTAGAATCAACATGAATCACAATTCAAGATGCCTTTATTTATTTATTTTAATCAACTTATTGGGGGCTTGTACAACTCATCACAATCCATACATACATACATCCATTGTGTCAAGCACATTTGTACATTTGTTGCCATCATCATTCTCAAAGCATTTGCTTTCTACTTGAGCCCTTGGCATCAGCTCCTCATTTTTCCTCTTCCTCCCCATTCGATACTTTTAATTTTTAATTTATTTTTAAACTTTTTTAATTTTAAAAAGAATGATGTTAACTTTTTCTTGTCAACATATCTTTCACTTTAGAATACAGCCTCAATCTCAAACATTATCAGCGATATTACATCTTATCTTTGTAGTTTTTAACTCTCAGTTTGATAAAGTTTAATTTTTCTCATGGAACATGAATCAATGTGAACTAGCCAAGAATTCCCA